TTCTTCTTTTCGTCTTCTTCAAAACCTTCAGGCTGAAGCATATAAATCTCTTCTTCAAGATTTCCATGAAGAAAATTTGTTTTAATATCTAGCTGTTCCAGATGTAAATTCAATGTAGCACACATTGCCAAGACTACTCAAACTGTTGTTAGTCGAACCACAGGAGAAAAAATTTCATTGAAATCAATACCTTCTTTCTGAGCATATCCTTTGACCACCAGTCTTGCACGATACCTCTCCACTTGATCGTCACCATTTTGATTGATTTTGAAAACCCATTTGTTACCAATTGGCTTCCTTCCTTGTGGTAGTGGCACAAGGTCCCATGTATTATTTTTATGAAGGGCTTCGATTTCTTCTTGCATCGCCATCATCCACAGTGAAGCATCTGAGCTGTTTATTGCCTCCTGATATGTTGATGGCTCACCGTCCTCTGTTAAAAGACAGTATGCAACATTTCCTTCTATAACATAATCTGAGTGCCAATTGGGACGTCTTCTCATTCGATCTGATTGACGAGTTGTTGGAGCTTCAGAACTCTCTGGTTCTGCTTCAGAAGAATCTCCTTGTTCAAACTCCTTTTCTACATGTATCTGTATAGTCTCTGACTTTTCAGCGCTGTCATTGTCTTCTTTTCTTTGTATCTTATCTTCTACAAAGATAACATCCCTGCTAATGATCACTTTGCGGGCAGTGGGATCCCACAAGCGATACCCCTTTACTCCATCAGCATACCCCAAGAATTTGCATTTTCTGGATTTTGGATCTAGCTTTGAAATTTCTTGGGCGTTGTACATCACGTACACAATACTTCCAAATACATGGAGGTTTGAATAATCAACTGGTTTACCAGTCCACATCTCCATTGGTGTCTTCAGCTCTATTGCAGTTGATGGAGCTCGATTCACCAAATAATAGGCGGTATTGACTGCTTCTGCCCAGAATGATTTTTCTAGGACTGCGTCCCTCAACATTGCTCTTGTTCTTTCTAACAAGGTTCTGTTCATCCGCTCTGCCACTCCATTTTTTAGAGGAGTGTTCGCCACTGTGAACTATCTTTTAATGCATTCTTTCTTGCAAAAGTCATCAAATTCTTCGCTTGTGTATTCTCCTCCATTATCTGTTCTGAAACACTTGATCTTATTTCCAGAATCAAGTTCCACCCGCGCTTTGAAGTTTTTGAAAGTTGAAAACACGTCTGACTTCTTCTTAATAGGGTGCACCCAACATCTCCTGGAGTAGTCATCAATAACTGGTGCTTGCCATACGTCAGAGTGAACCAATTCTAGAACACTTTTACCTCTAGAATTTGATGTGTTGAATTTCAACTGGTGCTGCTTACTTGTTATGTAATGCTCACACAAAGGAAGTGATACCTTTGTTAAGCCTAGAAGTAGCTTTTGCTCCACAAGGACTTTCATTCCTTGTTTTGACATGTGTCCAAGTTTCTTATGCCATAGCATTGCAGAATCTGAACTACATGAGGCAACAGAGGCTTCTGCTTCTAGCAATGTCTCTCCCTTCAGCATGTACAAGTTTGCAGCTATCTTTTCACCTTTCAGCACCACAAGCGCTCCACGAAACACTTTCATGATTCCTTTCCGTGTTTCAATCTTGCTAGCATTATTATCCAACAATCCGTAGGATAATAAATTTTTCTTTAGATCTTTCACGTGCCGTACATCTTGAACAACTTTAATTGTTCCATTATACATCTTTAATTTGATGGTTCTCACACCAACGATCTCTAAGGCATGATCATTGCAACTATACACAGATCCTCCTGAGACAGGTTCATAATAATGGAACCATTCTCTTCTTGAGGTCATGTGATATGTCGCTCCCGAATCAATGAGCCATATATCTGCAAATATTTTTTTGCCTTCCACGGTGGTTGACGCTTCACAGCATAGAGCATCTCCATCATCTGAAGTGTTTGCGATATTGCCTTGTGGATTGGAGTTTTTATTTAGACTCCAAAAATCCTTCTTCAAGTGACCCTTCTTTCCACAGTGGTAGCACTTTAAATTCTTCTTGCTCCTCGACTTCGATCTACCATGTTTATGACTGCTGCTTTGGCCACGTTCTGTTGATCTCCCTCTCATTGTTGTCAACGCTTCTGCTTGTTGCAGATTTACTTGTCTGTCTTCCTTGTTCTTGCACCGATTTTCTTCTTGTAGAACAGCAGCTGCAACGTCATCGAAGACTAGACTGGTGACATTACTGTTTGTCAAGTTGATGATGAGTTGATCGTACGAATCCGGTAGACTTTGAAGTAGAAGTTCAGCACGTTCTTGTTCTCCTATTTTACAGCTTAAGGATGTAAGCTGAGAAAATAAAGTGTTCAGTGTATTTAAGTGCTCCGTCACTGAAGTAGATTCTGGCATACGGAGAGTGTACAATTTCCTCTTAAGGAAAATTTTATTGTGCAGCGATGTGGCCTCGTACAATTTGATGAGATGATCCCATATCTCCTTAGCTGTCTTCTTCTCCTCGATGCTTGACAATACTTCATCTGCTAATGCTAGATGAAAGTTTGCCATAGCATTCCCGTCCATCTCGTTCCATTTGATGTCATCTGCGAAATCTACCGGCCTTTCATTGATAGCCGCTAGACACCCGTCTTTCCTTAGGATGACCTTCATCTTCAATTTCCACAATGAGAAATTTCTCCCATTGAACTTTTCAATATCAAATTTCGTTGCCATTGCTTCGTTTACGGATAGCTCCCACTATTTCACTTTCGTGAATAGTTCTCTAGAACCTTCAAAGAATGGGTAATAACTTCTTACTTTCTTATGTTGGAGGATCCACCTTTTGGTGGTAACCACAAAGACAATAAGCAGATATTACACACTCTAATCTAGCTCTGATACCAATTGTTGCGGAAGACGGCTATCGGATAGAGCAAAATCGCAACTGATAATTTGAGAAAATAAAAATGAAGATAAAAGAGACACAAAATTTACGTGGAAAACCCCTGAATAATATAGGGTAAAAATCACGGGCAACGGTAGAAAAATTTCACTATGAGAAAATAGGAATTACAACCTCTCTCGATCTACCAAGGAGAAAACAATGATAATTCTCTCTAGATAAAAAGGAGAAAACAACTCTCAAGAAACTCTTTAAAATCTCTCTAGTATTGGAAGAAAGCTAGAATGCTTTGGGATGGTTTTGAAGCTAAATGAGCTAGGGTATTTATAGTTGAAGCTTAAGGACTAATTTGTAAATACCTTAAATTACAATGACTAAAATTGAGATTTTACCATTGTTGATTTCCAACAAATAGCCAACCTTTTTTGACAAAATTGGTGGCTGCCACCGAAAGTGGCTTGGCCACTTGTTTATTTTTCAACATTATTTGCTAGTAAACATAATAAGAGGGATTCTTTCATCTTTATTTGTTCTTGTTGAAGTTGGTTCAAGGACTGCCCGTGTTCTCTTATTGTTGTTTTGCTTGTTTGAATTGGATTCCCCTGTATGTTCATAAACTGACTCTCTCTTGTAATTCGTAGCTTAAAAGAGAAGAAGAGAAGGCTAAGAAAGAAAGGAAGAAAGAGAAGAAAGAAAGAAAAAAACGGGAGAAGAAAGAAATAGACAAGGCTCGGCACAGTGGAGAAACCGAAAGAAGCATGGTCATAAGAAATGGCATAAAGACGAGAGGAGCCAAGAAGGTAAAAAAGGTGGAGACATCCAAAAGAGAAGACAAAATGAAGTTGAATGATTTGAGAAGAGTACGCCTACTGAAGTACATGGTCCTGTAGTGGGACCCTAGAAATCTTCGGATAGCACAGTGTTTGTATCTCTTCCTTACCTGGGAGAGGCTGTTTACTTGTTGGGTTTGCTTGCTTCACATGGGCACTGATATTGTGTATTCAAATTGTATTGTTGTGAAGGAAGCATTATCAGGATCTGGTTGCCTTCTCAAAGGCATATAGATCCCGTAGTGCTACCCTGCAACGAGCAAGCTTGCTTTACCTCAGGAAAGATTGATGAGGCCTTTGCTCAAGGGACGCATGAGAATGTTCCCAGATCAAGCAGCTGGGAAAAAACCCTTGTTTTACTTCCAGTATTAGACTTCCGGAGTTAACTCCCAAGCTCCGCAAAGAAAAAACTTGTTCCTCTTCTGGTGCATCAGAAAGTCTTGCTTATAATACCCGAGCATCATTGCTGTCAAACTTGTGTTGCAGTTGCTCGCCTACACTAACTTTACAATTCAAAAATCTTGTGGAGGATTGGATTGTGCCTACACTGCAGAGTGAGTTAACCAGTTTTGGTAATGAGGGCTGGCTGTTTCAGAAGAAGCACAATCTCAACAGCGGGGTTAAAAGCAGCAAAGATAGAAATGTTGGCTCGTGTCAAATGAATTCAACAAGTTGGCCACATGCTTGCTTTTTACCCGAGGCTTATATATATGCATTTACTTTCACGGTACCGTTCTGAACTAAATGTACTGAGAAGGCGTGCAAAGTGTGAGAAGTAGAAAATGGTGCGGGAAGTGAAAGTACTTATGTAGTTGATTTCGTATTGTAGGAATGATTGTCCTTTGCTTCTTGATTTACCATATCCAAATTCAATTCTCAATGCCTGATGGTTATAATGTGATTGAACCAATGAATGGTATACTTATAAATAAAGCAAAACCAATCATATTTACATAAGGACCCATACATGTTGGAAGAAAGTAAGCACAAAAAAATACCAATACTTTTTAAAACCAATAACAAGCAATAAATTTAAAGATTGTCCGAGCAGTTCCCTAAATAAAATGTTCAAAGGGATTTAATACATAAATTGTACCAAAAACGGAGTGCAGGAAGAAGGCTGGCATCGATCTACTTGGTTTGAACAAGAGTTTCAATAAAGCAATCCTACGAAACCACTGGATGCGTTACTAAGATCCTGACTTGTCAGCTGGGACACTAATATAATATCCAGGGCTTCTAATATCTTCAAGGGCAAGGAGAGGAGAAAGGCAGGAGCGGTGGGACAACATATACATTTTCCTTTTCCGCTCACATTATCGAGCAGGCTTTGTTCTTCTTTTTCTTCGGCTTGGGAGGTTGAAGAACGATTTTGATGGCTGAATCAAACACCGACTTCACATTCTGCAGTGAAGTCGAAACAAATCTCTTCAGCATAAGGCATCTTCCACTATAATGAAATATATGTATATTTTATGAAACAACAGATACCTGCTGCGACTTCGCACTGCATTCGATGTAAGCAGGTGCATCAATCTGCTTTCTTAGCTCCTCCCCCTTACAGACGCGCAAAGAAGAAAAAGGAAGGGCTTAAATTAGCTACTTGTAAATAAATAAAAATTCATGCAGTAGGAAAATAAGTTAAAACAGTGACATTTCAGGAAAAGCATGGACTGTAGTAAAATCCATTACCTGGGCTGTAGAAATGGCCACAGCTCCAGGATGATCATTAAGGTACTGCTTATCGTCCCGAAGATCTGGCTCATTAGGAAAAGAAAGAAATCATGGATTACTCGCAACAACTCCAGATAAGTCATTTACGAATCACTAAAATTCGTAGTATAAAGGCCAAACTATACAGAATTGTTATAAGATTAATAGGCTTTCCATTGCATGGATACCTAAAATACTCCTCAACCGAGAGCATTACATGAAAGAAATTTTATAAACCTACCGAGCTTGGTTCCTGCAAGAACAACAGGCACACCAGGGGCATAATGGTTCAGCTCCGGAATCCACTGGAAAGAAGCCATGAAAATAACCGTGAGTGAACAATAAATTGAAAGCAGTCCTATTCGTTTGAAATTTTATAAAATTGTATGCAACCTAACCTTTTTAGAAACGTTTTCATAACTGGCCTTGCTAATGAGGGAAAATGCCAATACGAACACATCTGCGCCTCGATAACTCAAGGGTCTTAATCTGTTATAATCCTCCTGTCCTGTTGCCCAGAATTTCAAACTAAGAATCCCCATGTAAAACAGAATCTCTATAACCTTTCTTCTAGCAATAAAATTTTAAAAGAGATGCAAAAAGGTCAATGAACAAAGCTCTGTTTTGAAAACCGGACCGGACCGGCCGGTTCAACCGGAAACCGTTGCTTAGTCCGGTTCAATCTAAACCGGTTGAACCGCTATTAGTGAACTGGCCAAAACCGTTGAACTGTTCGAACCGGACCGGCTGAAAACCGAAAAAAACCGGGATTTTTGTTTTTTTTTTTTAAAATTAAACCAAACAACGTCGTTTGTTAAACGAGCCAAGTCGAACTCGAGTATTGCTGAGCTCGATTCGAACTTGAAAACTTTAAAAGTAAGCTCAACTCAACTCAAACTCACAAGCTAAAAATTATCAAGTTCAACTCAAACTCGGAATATAATATTGAAACTTGAACTCAAAAAGGCTTGAATTCAAAAAAAAATTTAGAAGCTCGATTGAAGCCTAAAATTCGAGCTTGATTGAAGTGAAAGAATAGTTCACTCAATGCTCACCAAAAGGCTCTATGATTTTGAATGCCAAATTACTTCTATTATTTATAGAAGTTAGTTGTGATGCGCTTATATGTTTCTTAGCAATGTGAGATTGTTTTGTTCTCATATTTTTACTCTTTAGACTTTTGGGATGCTCTTCTATGTTTCTTAGCCATGTGGGATTGTTTTAAAAAAAATTAAACCAAACAATATCATTTTGTTATGATTTTTTAACCCCAAATTTATTTTTTAATTATAGTTATATAATTATATTTATTATTTAATATGTTTTACCTTAAATATTATGTTGTATTTAATTTGAATCATTTTGTTTCACTTGATTTTATGGTTTTTAACTTATATATGTTATAACTTGCTTTGAATATGACTTGTGATATAAAAAATTATATTTTTTATTAAATATTTTTGATATTTTTATTTAATTTTTTAAATAATTATGACGTCGTCCGGTTCTTTCGACCGGTCGACCGGTTGAACTAATAAACCGGTAGCATGACCGGTTCGCTAATCGGTCCGGTTCTGAAAACCATGGAACAAAGTACCTGCAGTATCCCACAACCCCAGATTAACAGTACTCCCATTGACAACAACATTTGCGCTGAAATTGTCGAAAACAGTTGGAACATAATCCTGTTTTCCACCGCAACAAAAACCGTAAGAAACCCGATCTTCAACGATGGGTTTATCTTTATAAATTCAGAAAATTTTCTAATGACTAAAACGGAAGCGATAGTTTTTTTTTCTGCCCTTAATTCAACATTAAACATTGAAGTATTAAAAAAAATTACCGTTGGGAAGGTGTTGCTGGTGTAAGAAATCAACAAACAAGTTTTACCAACGGCACCATCACCAACAGTCACGCACTTTATAAACCTGGTAGCGCTCATTTTCTGTAGTTTTTATTTTTATTCTTCACTTAAAGACTAGCCCCAGATCTTAACACCTGGGGAGAAAAAGTTAGAAATTCCTAATGAAACCCTGAAAAGATGAATCATTTTTCTCCTTTTTCCTGTTCTTCGTCTTCTTCTTCAATCAGCCAGCTGCATAGCATACTTTCACCGAAATAAGCGCGAGGGAAGAAAAGATGAAGGAAAGCCTAGGTGAAATTAGAGAAAAGTTTGTTCTTGGTTTTTGATTATTTAGAGCCGTTTGAATCGTTCTTGTAGTCAACCAATTTCTTTTACTTATTTTAACGTGCGAACCCGGGATTTCCCGCTGGATTCGATTTTTTGTTTGTTTGATTTTTCGATAATAAGTTATTTGAGTATTTATTATTAAATAATTAATTTTTTAATATAAATGTTATCATTTGTAATCATTTAAAATTAATAAAAATATATTATCAGAGTAAAATATATATTAGATTATTCAATTATTAGTTTGATTATAAATAAGATTTTTTAATTTAATTCTTTAATTAAAATATTATGATAAATACAAAATATTTTATTAATATTAGATGAAATTTTGATACCACGTGTATAATAATAATTTTAATCTTTAAAACTTATTATTTCTACTTAATTTGAAACATTTAATAAATTCAATCTTATATATTTAATTTTTTTATCATTTTAATCTTTGTTTTTCTCTAAAAGATACTATTATATTACTTTGTTGGTATAATTATAGCTTAATAGTAATATATTCTTAGTTTATAGTGCTTAATAGTAATACATTCTTAATTTATAGAGCTTAATAGTAACACGTTCTTAATTTATAGTATGATTCAATCATCCAACTGCTAGTTTGTTTTTACAGTATCATAAAAAATTAAATTAATATTTTTTTTAAATATAAATGATTAAATTTAATTGTAACACTCCTTTCTCGTATCCATACCTGAATACGAGTCCAAGATGTTATATAACCCTTGTAAATTGTTCTTATTCGAAATCAGTAAAATTTTGTTTATTTTAAAATCGTTAAATTTAACATTAATCATGAAAAATATTTAATTGCGTAAAAATAAAAATCTAATATTCTAACATTCAAATCAAGTTCGTTTTAAGCAGCAACATGACAATTCGATACTATTTTATACAAGGAGTAAAACTACATAAAAACTGCTTAATTTAAACTTCATTCTTATGTTCATAAACATATGATTTTACTATAACATACATTAAAATTCATTATTTTAATTATATGTTTTGCTCACTAAAATCCATGTATATAAATTTCTACTACTTGTTTAAAACCTTATATTCATATCAGAGCATTTCTAATTTAACTTAAAAACATGACATATTAAAATTTTACAGACACTTCTTATTCGTATATATGCCAACTAGAAAATCAAAATACAGTAAGATGTTATTTCTGATACATGTAATTATTCTTTGATGATTGATGTCAAGCTCAGCTCCTTACTCCACTTACTCTCTTTTGCCTACTCTTGAAAACCACTTAGTGAGACATTTATAACTTTAAAATAAATATGTCAGAACATATGAATATAAAAAAATATTAAACATACTACAAATATCATATAATGGCAGATAATATAAAATAACTTTCAAACTATTTACTCATAATGTAACCTGCAAACCACAGTTAAGATATAAAGTATTTTATACCAAATAAGAGTATTCGATGAAAGTTTTACTTTCAACGAACCAATCAAACTTGCACTTTTCAATTTCATATAAACCATAACCAAATTATGATAAAAGAGAATGTAAGGTACGTGAGTCAAGCGAGTGCTAAACAAGAGTATAGTTACTGTAGAACACAACATTACTATAATAATAATATGGATGGTAGTTTATAATGTCAATGCATCACGAACCCTATAATTGTACAAATAAAGTCAGGAGTACACGAATGTACTAAATACAAGAGTACACAATGGTACTAATATGGAAGTGCACGAATGCACTAATACAAGAGTGCACAAAGGCACTAATACAAGAGTGCACGAATGCACTAATACATGATCGACCGATAAACACTCCACCTCATGGCATACCAATTGTACCAACGATTCTCAATATACATACAATGGGCTTTTAGAACAAGATCATATATCATTCACTTATCAGGAGTATCCACATATATTAATACATCCAAATATTATAGAAAAGTGCATTGGACAATTCATACCTGAAATCATTCATAAAACCATTTAATAAAAAATTCATATAAAATATATTGGGTAATTTTATACCCAAAGTCATTTGAATACCTTTTTGGTAAACCAACATGAAAATAGATCAAAATATGATTTAAATACTTTTTCTTTCAAACCATTTGAGGTTGACTCATCGCAAGTCTTCCTCATATCATATATAATAATATAAGTAAGAATGCACTCACCTGGTATACTAAGCTTGCATACTTTATTTAACGAGATAAGCCTCACTTTTGTACTTTTTCCTTAACTCTTAGCTTGTTTCGATCTAGTTTTTTTTATCATGATATATACAAATATCATTTACAAAACATATGCATTTCGATGTACATGTTAGTATCTCACTAACATATTAGGCACACATTAGCATAAAGTTGCTAGAAATGCAATTAATGTATAATCCATACTGATCCCCTTTCACATTATTAATGCTAACTTAAACTCCTTCAAAATAACATTTCAAGTCCCTGAAATATTCATCCTTATCAAGATTTCACAAGACTTTTCAATATTCACATTTAACCACAAATAAGCATTTTTTTGAAAATTCATCCCAATATTTCAAATTCATTTAAAATTGTCCATTTCCATTTTAGGTAACATCCCCAAAGAAGGGCTAGTGACTAAAATATAAGTTTTTGAAACTTTGTGGTCAATTTAAAAACTTTTAAAAGTTCAGGGATTTTTTGAATAATTTGTGAATGATTGTTTAGCAAAAATTGAATGATATAAGGGCAATATGATCTTTAGACAAGAAATGAATTAAAAATTCATTTTTACAAGATATTTATGCAAATAAGTGGGAAGAAAAGAAGTATCTGGAAAGTGGTGTATGTTTCTTCTTCTTCTCCCTTTAGCCGTGAGTGTCCATTCCAACGGTGAGTTCTCTACAAGTTGATTATTTCTTGAATTTTAAGGTGGGTTTTGGTCTATGGGTGGTATATAAGCTTAAGGAAAGCTTAATGTTGTTTAAAAACTAAAAGAGGGGAAGTTATGTGGGGATTTGTAAAGAGGGTTTTTGAGTGAATGTATGAGAAATGTTTAGGAATTGGATTTAAATTTTATATTTGATTTGTCAAGGGTTTAATTAAAAGTTAGAAGTAATAGAAATGGATTTAAAACATGTTGAATAATTGGTATGATTTTTGGTTCTAAGTGTTCTATGAGAATTTTGGATGATAAAGTGTGTTAAAGTGTTGTAGGTTAGTTTTAATAAGCATGTTATAGTTTAAAGGTTTGAAAGGAGTTAAAAGTAAGGTTTATTGTTGGTGTTGGTGGAATTTCGAAATGGAAAAAATGTGATTTCTGGGCAAGGGGTATCGGTACTGGATGAACAATACCAATACTCCAAAGTAAATATTTGTGATGTTTGGGTTTAAGTATCAATACTGGATGAACAATATCGATACCAGAAGGAAAAAGTGGATAAATCCTTCATAGAGTATCAATATTGGAATAGTAGTATCAGTACCAGGGGTATCGATACCAATGTTTAAGTATCAGTACCATTTTAGGGGCCGAATTTCATAATGTAATAAGGGTATCGATACTGAAGTGTAGTATCGATACCATAGTAGGGAATATCAGTAATATACCTTGGGTATCGATACTATTCATATGTAAATTGTGAATTAAGTACTTTGTTTAGCTCAAGTTATTGGTGATTGACTTATAGTATTATAAATTCCAATATTTATTTAGGTCATATATTGGTGTAGATATTGATTGAAGGAAAGATCCGGACGATTCAAAGTTATAAAATCCATCTAGGGTGCTAAGTGTTTAGCTTTGACTAAGTGAAACTAAGGTGAGTGCATATCCTGATGTTATGGTGGTCTATGTAAATGAGATTTGCGATGAGTCTATTTCCAATGTTTTGATTGCATTATTTCATTAATAGTAACATGTTATTAATATGATTTCTGTGTATACATGAGTACATTCATATGTCTAAATATTAAGTGTATTGCTATACATGAGCTATGTGTTACATGTAATACTATGTGATTATGAGCTATGTGAATACATGTCTGTGTGGTAACCTATGTGAATTGATATAAATGACCTATGTAATTAAATATAAAAGTGGGATAAGCATAATATCATTGACGTATGTGATTACATAAGATTATGATATAAGTTATGTGATAATGAGCTATGCATTTAAATGTTTATGTGATATAAGATATGTGAAATATATAAATGGTGAAGCCCATAGTATGTGATATGAGAGTCGAGGGTATAATTGGCATGCCAAGAGTCAAGGGTTCTACGCAATCCTTCTGGACATCTATATGGTCATTCGGGACAATTCTACGTGGTCCTTCGGAACAATTCTACGTGGTCCTTCGGAACATTTCTACGTGGTCCTTCAGGACATCAATGTGGTCCTTTGGGACATTCTATGTGGTCCTTCGGGACATTTTATGTGGCACTTCAGTACAATTTATACGAGCTTTGGTGACAACATTTGTGAACAACCTCAATGCACTCACATATCTTTAGTTCTCAGAAGTGTACCATGGGCTATTAAAAGAGATAACATAAATAAATTGTATGTGATGTTATGTGTTGCTTTGTGTAATGTATTATATGATGTTTACAAATGTTAAGTACAAGATTATATGTTTAGATGGTTTAATGGTTTGAATAGTAACAATGATAATGATGTTGATAATAATATTGATGATGATAATGCTGATGAGGATATATATACATATAGGTGCATTTATGCCTTTGTTACATGACGTGTTTATAATTCTTAATATGATTATATGAAATT